CAAGATTAAAGGAGCTGCTGTGCAGCCCATTTCTGCCACAGATTTGGTAAGTCTCTAGCCATGAGACTCAGAACAAATGTTAAGCTCTGAATTGGTGTCACCTCTGGTTTTTAAAAACTTGGGATCATATCTGTTAGCATAGCTATAAATCAAATTCAGTTTCTAAGGTTTGTTCCCTTGGTAAAACACGATAAACATATAATCTCAGCTAAAAAATAAATTAGTCACTAAACATCTGTTATTGTCAATAATATGAATACTTTGATAATGAAATGTACCAAAACAAAATGCAATGGACAAATAAATTTGAGATTTATTTTTGTATTCCAATGAATATCTTCCTTTGCAAACAGAAAAAGTATTAAACAATATTCTGAATTATTGTTAATGAAGTTGGTTGGAATGGATTGATATATCCAGACTGTATATTATTGTTGAATAAATGAATAACTGTTATAATTAATGTTTGACTTTATTTGCTGAAGATTTTGGTTTTTGCTTTTTTAAGGGTATAAGTTTGCCAGGCAAAAATGTTCGACTTGTATTAAAAGAAGGAAAAGGGGGTCTTTTGGGACTAACGTCAAAGTTGGGAGAGGTGTGGACAAGCTTTTGGCCTTCAAAGAGGGCACTTTGTGCCCAAAAACTTATCTTATACCTCTTCTAATTGTATAGCTGGTCTAATAAAAAATAATACTGAAAAAATATTACTTCTTACATATTTTCTGAACTGATCCTACTACAGGCTTGTAACAAGTCAGAGTTTTATTTTTAAGATTTTAAAAGTTATATATTTTTTTTTTGTCAGAATCAGTTTAAATTACCTCAGGTTTCTCAGGGAATGCCATTTAAATGGTTGAAACTTAGGGTTAGCTGGGGCATTTTTCATAGAGAAGGAAACTTACTGTGTAAAGTTAGTTTTTATGCTTTCGCATAATCAAAGTGTTTTTATGCTTTCGCATAATCAAAGTGTTGTCAAATGCACAAAGAAAACAAAATATAGAGTAAATTGTTTTTCATGCTACTCTTTAAGTTAAAGTATACCTAAGAGGTACTCTTAGGTAGAGTGGGTGCAAAATGTTGTGTCAGAATTGTGATATTCAAGTTTCAGAAAATGTTGGCTGATATTGATTGCTTTGGACACTTTTAAAGCATCAGAGGTAGTTGCTTTTGTAGTTTTGCTACTTTTATGTGAAAAGATAACCCTTTATTTGAACATTCTCTGTTTTAGATCGAATCGCGCTCTTATAAATGTTTGGATTCCCTCAGTCTTTCTCCGTGGAAAAGCTGCTAATGCATTCCATGTTTATCAGGTAAGCAATGCTACTTTTAAGGTATATTTTCATGACTTTTGTTTGTGAAATACTGGAATGAATTGGAACACTTAAAATATTTTAGGTATCTAAAAGTGTTTATGAATAAAGAACCTTAAATTCTTAGGCACAGCGATAATAACTTCAATCATTTGACTATCTTACTGAGGCTCTTTCGGTGAATAGAGGTAATCTTATATGTATTTTTAGAACTTGGCCTTACTAATAAAATGGTGATATGATGACTGTAGGCAAACAGACAGCCATTCACTGTTCTGCAGTAATGCCTTCTTGTGCACCTAAGTGCATATGCATGCTTCTTTGTAGCCAAAAAACCTAATTTTTCCTACCAATGTAAATAGTATTGGAGATTCTTCAGCTTTACCTTCATGCGGATATGTGAGACCCTTTGTTTTAGTACTCTACTTCTAAAATGGTATTTCAAATGTTTCAGCAGCTTGTTTGCTGTACTGTCTGTTAGCTACAGGCCTAACCTCCATGTGAGACCTTTTTCTGCTACCTTATAATTCAGGCTCAAAGGGTGCCTATACATGTAATCTGGGGTGGGGGGAAGGGGCATTTTAATTAGAGTGGCTCTGCGGAGCCACTCTAATTAAAATGCTGCCGTGTCTTGTGTATTCAGTGTCCCACATTTCAAAATGGTGGCGGGGGCACTTTAAAGTTTAGATGAGCTTTAGTTAAAGCACACCCACTGCCATTTTGAAATGTGGGACATGGAATACATGAGACGCCATAGCATGCTGGAGCATTCCAGTTAGAACTCATTAAAGCAGACTCAAGTGGTAGAGCCTTCTAATCAGAACATGTCAGAACATGTGTATAGGCACCCAAAAGTTCTAGCAGCTGAATTAAGTTAAAGAACTGGAGCAAAAAGGTATTAGCAGCTAAGTCTTACAGCATGTACAGACATTTGCTGCCCCATAAACTCTCCTGGGAGTGATTTAACCTTGGTTGTTCACAAGTTATTTTTGTCTTGGAGCAGCCATTTTTACTCTGGGAGAATGTCTAAACATCTGTACACTTTTGTTTCTCTTGGGGGGAGCAGTGATTCTCCCAGGAGAAACTGAATGTCTGTACAAGGCCTTACTTTCATACATATGTGTAGATTCAGCACTCAGGTTGAATTAGCATTGGTTTTTCATTTTTGTAATTTTGTTTGTTGAGATTTCCAATAAAAAAGGCCCAGGTTTTCTCTAAAGACTAAACAGAAAATAGAAGTTTTGTTAAATTAAAATTTAAAAACTCCGCTGTATTGGGACTTTTCCGTGGCCAATTAGAAGTTGGCCTGCCCAACTGTTTCTGGGATAACTACCAACCTCTCTTGCCTGCCACACCTTGTTTTTTAATAAAAATTGGTGACTTAATTAGGCGGGAGGCTGGCCTTTGGCAGGTCTTTTCTCCTGGGCAGCTCCAACCACCCCTGTATTGCATCCCAAGCCTTGCGGATGACACACACACGTACAATGTTCTCTCACACCACGACTGGTGCTTCTGGGTCCCACAGGGACTGTCTTCCTCCCTGGAGCAGCAGGTCATTGTGCTCCACCTGTAGGTCTTTATTTTGACTCACACTCAGCCTCCTTGTGGCAGAGGACTTACTGGGGTCAGGACTTGCCCCTAACTCACTGGCTGAGCCCCCCCACTCGGCCTCTGGCCCAAACTATGGCCTCAGACATCCATGAACATACCTTGGCCTCTTCCCCACACATAGGGTTCCTACTGCGCCCACTCTAGGGCCTCTACACCATGCCCCACCCTGGGGTCTTCTCATCATCCTCACACTCAACTACTCACAGGCTGGCCCTTATGCTGCCCTTCAGGCTGACTCCCAGTTTGGCCCTACTCAACGTGCCCCTGGGACTGCCCTTCAGGCCTACTCCCTATTCATCCCTACTCAGCCCCCCTCATGCACAGCCCTTCAGGTCTACTCCTGTCTACTGTGTGTGGGGCCACTTACATTCCTGCCCTGTCAGGAACTTCACAACTGCCATCTCTCTTGGGCTTCACCATGGCCCTCCCTCTCCAGGGCCACACAACTATCCCCAACCAGGGGCCTCCAAGGTTTTACTGCCCTGCAGGCTTAGGTGGCCATAGCCGTGCCTGGCCCTCATACCCACCAAGTTGTGGGGGCTGGGGTTATTAAGGTGCCCGTACCCACCTTTCACTGGGGTGGTAACTGGCCTGGTGTTTCCTGGGGGCTCCCACACCACTAGGAGCCCCACCAGGCCACCCATCCCTGGTAGCGTGCATTTTTAGGTCATGCCCTGGACCAAGAGCCTCCTAGACATCCCCATAAGCTCTTACCCTTACCTCCTGGTGTTCCTGCTGCAGCTCAGCCAGGTGATGCTTCCGCATCAGTGCTTTACTGCCGGTTGCAGCACCCTTTTTGGCATCCTTAATAGGCAACAAGTGTGGCCCTTAAGGGTGCTGTGCAGGGGCATCTGCTCCACTGCCATCGTGTCAAAGCAGATGGTCATGTGTGGCACCCTTCAGGGTAAATGCATGGCACAGGCCATCAGGTTCAGTATGGCAGTGGGCTCGGCTTGTGTGTAAAAGTGACCCAGATTGTCATCACCACCACACAGTTCCTGAGGGTCTTTCTGGTCTGCTTGATTGGAGTGGGAAGCAGGCATGAATAGGCCTGTATTAGGCAGGCTACTAGCTTAGAAGCCTTAAGAGCCAGTTGGGACCTTTGGCTCTGAGGCCTTGTGTCTAAAGCTCTGAGGTGGTCTGTGTGTTAGAGGGAAACAGTGCTGGGACCATGCCTATGTTTCATTGGAAGTTCATCAAAACCAGCAGTGAACCATTTCAGATTCACTTAAGTGTTTTAAGTCCCATTTTTCAGAAATCATATAGGCGCTTAGGATTCTATGTATTATTGTAATTGGGATTAAGTTTCTAAATGCCACATCATTTTTGAAAATAAGACTTGGGCTCTTAAGTCACTTACGCGCTAATGGAAAAATGTACTGTAGGTCTCTTGGCCTGTATTAATGTCTGACATTTTATTATGCAATTATGACGTTTATTTCTTGTAATCAGTTGACTTAGTTATCTGGTAATATCTGATGGCATTTTGTACTACTTTTTATCTAATGACTATAAAGTGCAGTGTTCTACTTCAATTTTTTCCTGTTAGGTTTCAGTAATGGTGTACTTTTTTAGCTGTGAGAGCTATTTTATGAAGTGCTCTTCTAGTAATTGCACTTTCAGTATTTTTATGGGAGGAACATTTAGAACAGTGGGAAGAAAAGTACAACAGCAGGGACATACTTCTCACAATAAATAATGGTGACTGGAAAGATGCATCTTAGGAAAGACAGAACCCAGTGAAAACCATTTAGGAGGATGCTGATGTGAGAATGTCGCTATGCACTGATCTTTGCTAACGGTGATATTCATAGGGTTCAATCAGAGAGCTGATATTTTTTCTTATATAATTTTGATTCCTTTTAAATACTTTTGTGAAAGGAAGGTGAGCTTTAAGGTCTTTTCTAGAATCATTTTGTTTAATCTAGAGAATTAATAAAAAGGTAGAATCTGATTTACATTAGCATAATAATCATCTTTTCTTGATATTTTTTCCTTAGAAGCTGGTTATCAATTTCAGTCTCTGAAATCGAAAGAGAGAATAGGACAGAAAATTTGTGGTCACCTGTGAGATGAATGCCTTAGTATTCTCGGCAGTGTAAAGATACAAGAATCCCAAACACATCTGACTTTGAGCTAAGGTTCATTCAGCATGGGTACTAATTATGTTGATGATAAGCAAGTAACCAGTGGGTGGGTCTGTCTAGCTAATTTACTGTAGCAGGCCACAGCCTGCTCTGTCACACATGTTAGAGCATGCATCTGTCTGGTACAGTAAGCCATGGACAGAGATGTACATCTGAACTGGTCAGAATTCGCTTCCAACTAGAAGTGCTTCAGGCAATGGAGATAGATGAAGTCCCCTGGCAGACCTGCATCGGTATCCTTTCTGGTCAGGGAGCACAAAAGGGAGTTGCTCAGGTCTGTGGTTCTTCAGAAACCCTGTCTTCCTGTAGTTAAGGTTTTAGAGAGAAGAAAACAGCTGAACCTTTTTACTACAGCTGAATATATGCATTTTTATAGTGTGATTTTAGACTACTGTAGCTGTTGTGACTTTCTCTCTCTCCATTGTAAGTGACAAATGTCCATAATTTATGTTTTGAATTTATTAATCTCTTTCTCCTTGCCTGGCTAAGTGAGAGAGAGTATTGCCCAACAGGCAAATGACTTAGTGTCCCAGGCATACAGGAGGCAACCTAAGATACAAGGTGTGCATTTTTTATTAGGACACAAGTTTATTAACTCAGCTGGGAACGTTATCATGGAATAAATTGGTCAGTTCCTTTCATGATGTGAATGTTCAGTGAACTTGAATGTTACAGCTTTTTTTTTGGAAGACTTGCCATCCGTCCATTTTTGGAACCAACTGATCTTTCCTCACATAAGGGAAGTGATAAAGGAGAATGTTTTTCCTAATGTTCCAGATCTTAGGGGTTCCAGCCATTTTCTTTTAGTGGCCTTTCCTTAAAGTCTACTTTCCATTCCAGATTAGAGAACTAATGAACTGTTACTAGAGAACTAGAGCCCTTATGGAATGAGAACTAGCAATAGGCACTTGCTAAGTTCCAACAGTGTGAAATTAACTTTCCTATTTATTAGTCTGGGTCCATGATCTTACCGGCAAAACAACGCCCTTCCTCATTTTGCTGCTGCGATCACATTCCCACCATGTTATGCAAAAATATGTAATCACTTTTAAACGTAAAGGTATGTGTGTACCTTGTTATCAAGGGTATGACTTGAGAGGCTGTTATAGAGGTAGATAGAAATTGGTTGAGGTGTTTCTTGAAAGGGAGGTGACTGAACTTATGAAAGTAAAGAAACCTAATGTTTACCACTCTTCTTTCACATTTATGGAGATTTTTTTTTTCGTTCCTTTGTTTTTCTTT